AAGGAAGGAAGGAAGGAAGGAAGGAATAAATAAATAAATATGCTGACCTTTTTTCTCGTTCCTTTTCAGTCGTCAAATCCAACCCAACAGGAGTGTACACGATTAACCTTGTCGTCACCAACAACGCAGGCAGAGATGTTAGTTTGATCCCCAGTGACAACAAACCTGACGACGGATTCGAAATCCCTACCGGAACCATGGTGATAGTTTCCAAGACAACCAATGGCACAACGCCTGTGGATTTCATTGCCGTTGACATAGAAACAGAGACGGTGATGCGGATTGATGGTGAAGAGAGGAAACGAATAATCCCCAGTACTAATGAAAGTAGGATTCCAATATCTATAACTGCACCAGGTAATTTGAGAAAATAACATGACTATTAGACCATCAGTTTTTAAGGGGGGGGGGGGGCAACAAACGAGCTATAAAAGATGAATAGAACAGATCCTCTTAGACTCCTCTTAATGCTTTCCCATTTTCGACCAATTGTCATTCTTCTAGGAAGACGAATTCACAAATATTTACTTCTCAAAAATTACTGGGAATCAAGAAAATAATACTCAAGGGAGTGACAAGTGATCTTAAATAGAATAATTAGCAATTATTCGCCGAAGGCGAAGTGAATATCGGGGAATACTTACGAGACGCGAAATTCCCAAATTGACAAATTCACGCAAAACTTTTGGCAAAACTTTTGGTATATGCTAACAGTTGATATGTCAGTCTACTAGATGGATGTTTTTTTTTTTTGCGCGGTAACCTTGGGAAACAATTTGACTTGATATTTTGAAAGGCATCTACGTTACAACACACAACAGCCAACATATGTATCCCAAAATATAACCGTAAAAATTAGCAAACATTTGTACTAATAGTATTTTACTGTCTTTGTTTCAGCTGGATCACAACAAAAACCAAGTAAGTACGCGGGCTAATATTGTCAGTAAAAACATAAAGTCAAGCTAAGTCAGTAAAACCCATATACAGCTAACTAAATAAGCGGCGATCCTCCTTAAAATGTTAAAGGCTGCAAACTAAAGTGATCATAATGATTTTTTACCTTTAGAGTTACCATCAGTTACTCCAGCATTCTACTGGTCCTTCTATACCGTCAACAACGGCACAATCCCTGGTTCTCCAAGCTTCAAGACCCACGGAGACTTCCAGATAGTTGACGGAGGACTCTTCCTGGACGGTACCTCCGCGTACCTTACTGCGCATTTGAACTCCGACGACGCCCTTGTCTATCCCGAGAGATTCTCTAGGGGCTTTGCTTTTGGTCTCAAAGTGAAATTTCCTGATACAGTCAAAGGATATACCGTGCCTAAGTACGTGGTTGATACCGGCGCGAAGAGTCTGTCGAGTCGTGGGGTGTCGTTGTATATCCTGGAACAGAAACTGGTCGTAGAACTTGCTACGTCAGATACAAAATGGAAGGTACGGCGATTACAATATAAATAATTGTATAAGCCTCTTTATTTTGGAAGAAGTGTTTTCACATTTCCGACCACGTGTCATTCTCTTGTGAAAAAATTCTTTGTTTGAGTTGCATCCATATTTATGTTTCTTTGTTTCTTCTCGTGTACAACCGTTAAATAAAGAAATAATACTTTAGGGAATGAAATGTGGTCTGAAATGGAAAAACATTTCGCCCAATCTAAAGAGGTTTGATGAGAACATATTCAATGCAAAAGGCGCTTCTCGCGGCTAGTACCATCTGTCTTGCTTCTAATTAGCAGTGGCGTTTTTTTTACTCACAGAAGGCGTTGTCCCGTGATACCTACCTTCCTTTTCCCTTTCTTTCTATTCCATTTTATTCCATTTTATTCCATTTTATTCCTAGAGACCCTCAGGATGAACAAGTTACAGGTTCATAAACTTTGATTTCATGCCTGTCATTTCATTTTTTCCTCTCTTGCAGGCTGAAACGGACATAGCAACCAACAAATGGATTTACATCCTTGTATCCTGGAGTATGCAGAGGGGCTTGACTATCTATGTGGACGGACAGGAAATGAGCGGAGATTCTGGGGGAATGGGAGTGACTAACCTCATGGCAGCACCTCAAGAGGAAAACCTTAGCATTGGACGAAATATTGGAGACTCTGCACCCAACTTTGCTAGCTTCTATATTTCATCGTTGGCAATCTTCCGGGAAGACTTATCTGCGCCACTTGCCTTTGATATCTACAAGTATTATATAACTGATGGTAAGTGTGAGTTATGAAATGATCTAACTTTTTGAGTGGAGGAAACATCTAGCTAAAGAGAAGTCACTTTCAATTTGAAGTAAAAATTGTCCCTCTATGGAATCCACTGTTAAATCCATTATTACTGTACATGTATACTCCGTCTAAGCCTTTCTACCTTTAGAGTAGTTGGGTTCTCTATCTTGATTAAGTATAATACGTTTCCTACCAGTACCCATCACTCTACTATATATCACTGCTATTTTAAACATGCTAACTCCGTAACTGCGAGCTGCACGCTGAAATTTGTTTTTTTGCTGCCGCCAGTCAAAAATATAAAAGGTCCCGACTGATTGGTTTTAATTAACAGCAATGAAAAAACAAATTTCAGCGTGCAGCCCGCAGCTCGTGAGTTCGCATGTTTATGAAAATAGCATTAACGGTACGAAAACTGAAGGCAAAACAGAGGACGAATTGAAGCTAACGGTTAACAATACATAACTGGATTTGATATTTCTCTTCAGCCATCATCCAGCCTTCCAAGATGTACTACATTAACTTCCACGTGACCAACACCCTTGGCAAGGAGATTGATTTATTATCAAGTGACGGGCAACCGGCAGGAGGCTTCCACATTAAACCCAAGCAAGTAGTCGTCATCCGTAAAGAACTCTCGTCACCTACCTCAGTGACGTTCACAGCTCAAGATGTCTCGACTGCTGGTGATGTGCTTATCAATGGAGAACTGGAATATATCGCGACACCAAGCGAGTACAAGCAGCAGATGACCGCTGTCACCATCACACCTGTTGGAAGCAGTGGTAAGTAATCTTGTATACCATGTGAGATCCTTACTTTCGAAGACAGGAATACCTTTGTTCAATATCATCCTCAAAATTATATACTTGTTGAACAACAACAACACTGAAAAAAAGTGAGAGTGGAAGAGACAAGAATTTTGCACAACGCACTTGTCGAATTTGGTGTTTAAAAATAAGACTCAAAAGAAGTTACTCCACTGAAGTCCTTAGTCCTTCTCTTGGGCTCTAAGGCACAATTGAAAATTTACGATTTTCGTTCAACAAGTACCCATATAAAGGAGCAGCCTAATTTTGGCTGCAAAGGGGGAATGAATCAAATGGAAGGACGAAGCAAAGAGCAGGCGCTCACCAACTCAGTATGAGAGATATTTATTCCGATATTCTTCTGTGATACTATTAGAGTGTTACTTTGTATGTACTATTTCTAAGTAGCTGACCATTTGATTTTTTTACCACAGGCAAGCCTGCACCACGTGATCGCTTCTACGTAACCCTGAACTTGAAGAACAAATACCGATCCAATGCCATCATAATATCCAGTGACAACCACCCATCTGATGGATACCGACTCAGCCCTATGTCATACGAGACACTCACCAAGGAGGTCTTCAGTGAAAAGAAGATCATCGTCCATGCATATGATCCTGCAACCAATAAGGAATTGCTTATTAATGGAGAGAGTTCTTATAGTGTGAAGCCAACTAGAGAGAGGGGGAACCCAGATGCATTGGAAATAACATCATCAGGTATAATATCACGTATGAAATAGGGTATGCATTCGCATGGTTTCTAGGCTAAGGTAGGATTTCAGACTTCCCCTACATAACGCTTCGAGAGACGCATGGGTGAAATAGTATATTGAGTAGCATATTTGAGAACTTCGTCTTCTAAGACAAGATAAAAGACAGCTTTTCGAGGATTGAGAGAGATCACTTTTTGCTAAATTGCACAAGCATCCCATGAACAGAACCTTCACAAAGTCAGGGATATCCAGTATTTAAACTTTCTGCCCACTATCTGCATTATTATTTGCCATAAATCTGCCCCGTTAGTGTGCGGTATCATCCTTCAGTTTGCAGTATCTGCTCTCGTTCCATATTAGTTACCTTGCAAACTGTATCACTTTCAATGGCAAAGGGGGCAAAACAAAACAAAGATGACGGAAAATATATAGAATTTTCATCTTTTGTTGTATGGCTTTGGGTGAGCTGCTTTAACACTAAAAAATCAATGTAAAAAAAATCTATCGACATCAATACTGCAACAAAGCTTTATTCGCCCCCTGGACGCCCTATAATGCCTTGCGATCCAAGATGGCCGCCGTAACATCGCAGTAGTCCATTACGATGGAAATGAGATTGTTTTGCCCAAATTATTTTTGTCTTCATATTATGATAACTAGCATCTCAAGTAAACTGATCTATGTTTAACAGCCATAAGTTAATATAATACTATAATGACTGTTATTCAGAAAAAGAAGACCTCATGGAGAACCCTCCAGTGCCCTACAGCTACTATTGGTCTTTATCATCAATAAACAAAGGATTCGTAGAAGGAAACCCTGCATTCAAAGTAACAGGAGGAGTAAAAGCAGAAGATGGCGGTCTCGTCTTTGATGGTAAAACAGGATGGCTTGGAGCGCACGTCGATAAAATGGACTGTCTAGTTGACCCTGAACGCTGTACAAAGGGATTCGCCATTGGTACTAAAATTAATATCGATCCAAGTTCGCTAAGTTCCAAGGAGGAGAAGTACATCATCGATACGGGTGCCAAGAGTACTGCTAAACGTGGTGTGTCGCTGTATACCATCGATGGAAAACTGGTTTTTGTTTTGGCAACCACAGACCAGACTTGGGAGGTAAGAACCATTAACTCTTTCTTGCATTATATTAATATATTTTTTGTCGCATATTTGTATGACACCAGGATCGTGTTCAGCTTTTAACTGGAAAAGCGAACTTCAAGCTGATATTTAATGCTACGTTTTTGTTGCATTTTGCATGTTACATACCAAGTCCGAACTGCACTATGGATGATGTGAATAAAAACTCCCAACGATATGAAATATTCTTAAAGTCCGTCTTCACGTTTTACCGGCATGTCTTCTGTGCCGTGAAATTATTTACATATGATAAAATGCAGTTCAAGCTTAGTAAGCAACATGCAGCATGCAAAATGTAACAAATGTAGCTTTAGACAGCATAAAGTTAAAATATACTTAACATGGAATCAAAGTGGATTTTTAACTTGACATACCTTTTAGTCAACAACGCCTCTCTTCTTCTTGTGTGTAGGCTTCAACATCTGTTACCGGTGGTCAGTGGATGTATCTCCTCATCACGTGGAATCGTAATGAAGGTGTCAAAATGTACGTTGATAACCAGATGAAATCGTCGACAAGAAACGGAAAACCAAACCCAGACAAGCAACCAACCACGAAACAGATCAACCTGAATGTCGGAAGGAACGTCAATGGATTGAGTGCACCAATGAATGGCATGTTTAAGATGGCTTCACTGGTCGTGTTTAATACTTACATACCGACACAGATGATTGCACCAATCAGTAACTACTTCTCCAAACCACGTAAGTGAAATGGTCTACCACAGGTAGCCCAGTAATTAGGAAATTCTGATAAGACGGCCATAGCGTTTGATCTGTTGAGATATTAGTTTTTAAGATTAAATCAAGTGCAAGCTTGGATTCTAATGAACTAGGAGGAAAAAGAAAGAAAGACTTCGCGCAAATGTATTTTTTTCTATTAAATACATATTGTGTTCTCTTCCGCAGTTGCTACTCGACCATCATCTAAATACTACATCGTACTCGAGGTAACAAACCCCACCACCAACAGTCTCATCCTGAAAACAAGCGACAACTATCCAAACCAGGGATTCCCTATCAAGGCCAAGGTCATTGCTAAGATCAAGAAAGAAGTATCCACCCCGGCACAGGTGTCTTTCCAGGCACGTGCTGCAGGGACGAAAAAGGTTCTGTTTCTCGATGGAAAATCAAGAATCGATATTACACCTTCTGGATCACCGCTTGATGTTGTTAAGATTACCGTTTCTGAACAAGGTATGTTGATGTTCACCATTAAGATGCGTCAACACGGGACAGAGTCATTGAATATTACGCGAAACAATGTTGCACTTTTTACTACTCAGCGTGCTCACAACAATCAAAGTGAATAACGGTTCTTCTTTGTGTAACGAGTTACGCGCGGTGTGTTCTTAAGAACATTTGCTCTACACTCTGCTACCCAGTTGCACGGCATAGTGCACGATTTCATGGCCCGCATCACCGAACCTTTAGTATAAATAAAATAGCATGTATGTGATCTAGCGCTACCGACAACCAACCAAGTGACCACACTCAAGTCGCTGGTTTGAAAAAGAAATTCTTGAAACCTTCTCATCACTTGTTACTTTTTCTTCTTAATCCAGGTCAAACAGTGAAACCATTACCAAAAGGTATGGCTTCTAATATTATAAATCGATGATTTGTTTGTCTGTGTTTTTTTGTACCAATTATATATAAGCCCCTTTCACATTACTAATTCCCTAACTAAGGGTTCAAAAGAATGGCTGAAGGATTTTGTTCTGACCCACCCGATATGGCCTAGTCTAACATCATAATACTCTACTGACTCATTCTAATCTGTATTGTATTTTAGGGGGGATCACCGAAGAAACTGGTGTCTCAGGTAACACTCTGTCATAAATTAGGTTCATTACTGAGATTATTAATGAGGAAGGGAAACTTGGGACACGGGTTTCACTTAATTCTAGAATTCGCTTGAGTGGCCAGAAAACATGGCTTCAAGTCGAGATTAGGTTAATTTGATGAGAGTTTTAGATTGACTTTTTTTTCCTTCCCGCAAATGGCAAAGAACGTGACCACGTTTTTATAATTTTCCTGTATTTTACTTGAGCTTTTGCAAACTTTCTCACCACACACAAATCATCTTTTGTTTATCTACTACTTGGATATTTTTGCTATTCGTTTTATCTAAAACTCTTTAATTTCATTTTCTTCAAAGTATTTTATCATGTCCGATCTCGACTTGCTTGGAACTATTGCTTCGTGGCGAATTCTGTAAAGGTCTATTATTAATTTCTATTATTAATCTTATTATTAGCCCCACCTGTCAGACCCGTTCACTCTTGGCTGCTTGCAAATCTTGATGGTAATGCGGTACCTGGAAATCCAGCTCTTACTGCGAAAGGAAAGTTCACAAGGATAGACGGAGGACTTGGCTTTGATGGATCAACAACTTTCCTATCGGGGTCTCTTGACAATAAAGACTGCATGATCAACCCAGACGTCTGTTCCGAGGGATTTTCATTCGGCATCAAGTTGAAATTCATATCAAATTCCCTGACGGTGAATGCACCGCGATATGTGGTGGACAGCGGACGTACAGCCAAAGGCCGAGGTATTGCAGTGTATCTGGTGATGAAGTCACTGTTTGTGGAAATCGCAACGTCCAATGCTCTCTATAAGGTAAAAACACTTCATTAAAGAATTATTTGAATAAAACTCTCTCACCTGTTTGATATTCTGTTTTGATGAGTCACGCAGTCTAGGTTTGCACGTGTCACGCAGTCTAGGTTTGCACGAGTCACGCATTTAAGTTGAGTTTTGATTTATACTTAGGGTGCTGTGACAGTCACTGGAGACTCCTGGTTCTACCTGACTGCTACCTGGAGTAGACGAACGGGCTTAACCTTGTACATAGACGACAAACCTTACTCTACTGTCCCGTCAGGCATGTCGGGAGTTGTATACCCAATCTATACCGGGACCCCCAACTTTGTGATAGGGCGTAGCGCAACAGCAGCATCGTATTACAGCAAGGTGAACATTGGGTCCTTCTCGACATATAACCAGCTGTTGTCCAGTAATGACGTCAAGGCTAATTATCGCTTCTTCTGGATACGTGGTAAGAGCAGGAGAACAGCGTTTACGCGATGTGCGCTTTCCCTATACCATTGTCATGCGGAACGGATTTTTCTTAAGGATAGGAAAAACAAAGCTGATTTGTAGTCTCTTTTGGAGAGATGCCTTCCGCTGCCGTAACTGTAACTAACCATTGTGATCTGATAAAGTGTACGGAAGCAATGGGAAGCCATTTCAGTCTTACCACTAAACCGTACATAGAAAATGTGTTCGGCTAGGTTGTTAGAAAGCAATAGAAAGCCATTTTAATGTTAGTGCATCATGCATGCGAGAATTTCCATTTCACAATTTAGGTAAATTGTTTTGTGTGTACCTTCATAACCAACCATAACGCGCGCTCTTCTTCTTAATTGTACCTTGTATTAATTTTGTTCGTCCATTGTAGGTTCGGGCGGTGAGGGCAAGACCTTCTATGCAGTCCTCGAAGTAACCAACCCCCTTCAGACAGACGCAGTGATCCTGACCGATGATGGGGTGCCTAATGAGGGATTCCGAGTCCGCAAACGAAGCAAGGTCAAGATTGCAAAGACAATGAAGTCTGGCTTGTTCATCACATTTAGGGCGACAGACATCAAGGGTCTTGTCACGTACTATCTAGACAATGTAGATGCCATCAAAGTGCAGGCGACGCACTCCAAGGATGTAGTAACACGCGCTACATTGTCGTTGACTGGTTAGTAAAGCTTGAGCTCAGCTTTGATTGGTTAATTTGGACACCCCATGTAATATTTTTAGCCATACTTAATGGAGAATGGCTGCTGAATGTACGCTTCGCACTACCACGTGATGGCAGCCATGACAGGGGGCACAACAAAAGAGTGTTTTACCCTCGGAAACTGAATGTTTTAAATGTAAATCAGATTAGACCAGATTCAATTGTTCCTGCCTCTTGTCCTGGCGGCCCTCACGTGATGGTGCAAAGCCTATATACTGTCGCTTATAAGTGTCGCACTTTCTACCCCAGAATTTTCTTTAACAATTGTAGTCTTTTGTCCTGGTTTTGTCTAGGTTTTGCAGTTCAAAGATAATGTCTTAATGTCACCATATTAGCGAAGAAGGTTGCTATAGAAACCTGTTAGTTGTTAATTGAGATCACTATGGTAACGAAATTGTAAAGAATTACTTTTACTTAGTTGTCCTGTTGTTTTTAGGTGTTGATACCGAAACGGGAGTCGACATTTCAACTACCAAATATTCTAAAGGTAAATATTTTATATTTGCTTAATATTTGTAATTCTACGAGCGTACCTCAATTGATAATCGTTTTTTCCCTCTCTGTCCAGCTCCTCCCGTCCTTGCTAGCCATTCCTGGTCAATGAATGCCATCTCCCTAAAGGCCAGCACAGTACCAGGAATCCCTCCATTGTCTGCTGTGGGCGCTTTGGACTTGGGTGACGGAGGTCTTTTATTCGATGGCAAATCGACGTGGCTTGGAGCAACCATTTCACAGGAAGATTGCCTCATAGACCCAGGAAAGTGCATCAGTGGTTTCACCCTTGCCTCTAAGCTATTCCTACACAATAGTGTAGCGTCTTATACCACGCCCAAGTATATAGTAGATACTGGAGCCAGCAGTGCCAAGACACGCGGTATCTCCATGTATGTCATGAGCGGCAAGGTCTTCTTCGAGCTAGCAACGTCTAGTAAAGTGTGGACAGTTTCTGCACCAGTAGATGTGAACGCATGGCTTTTCATCAGTACCACTTGGTCCAACGATAACGGCCTTCTTCTCTATCTCAACGGGGTGAAAAAGGTCGAAGACAAAACTGGTCGTCTGGACAGCGGTCGAACGATGAATCTCCATGACAAAAACCTGTGCGTTGGAAGAGACTCTAAAGAGGGCGGAGCTGATTATGCGCAGTTTATGATGGCATCCCTATTGACCTTCAACTCGTACTTGTCTCCCTTAGTTATGCGTGCTACTTATACATTCTACTGGAGAAATGGTGAGTACAAAACACTGCACCCAAGATCTTCCTTCCTCTATTGGTCATTAAAAGTCTGTGCGTTCCTTTTCTTTGTTTAGCTGGAGCTGGTCTTGCCCCTGTTGGTTTTGTGGCTCTGAAACTCGTCAACAAGGCAGGCGTTGATGCGATCATCGATACCAGTGATAAAAAGCCTGGGCAGGGACTACCGGTGAGTTGACTTGAACCATTCCGATAGTGTCTGGAAAAGCCGAAATAACCGGACAAAAAAACGGAAACATCCCAAGCCCGGTATAACACTTTGGTTCTGGCTGTAATAATGTGATGCAAAGTAATAGTCAATGAAATTGTTTCCATGACATTGTCCAAAAACACAATTTTTTAAGGGCAGGTGCCTACGTAATGTTATAGAAGCGCCTTGATTGTCGTCCATCAAGACCTACATCGTCGCAAAAACGGCTTTACCGTGAGGGCAATGTTCTCCCATTTCAGAAACGATTCCGTGCCTGCTATGCCTCTTCTTCCTGGGCAAAAATTTTCCCATTACAGACCACGTGTTATTCCTCTGAGAATAAGATTCTTTGATGCTGACCTTATAATCATGGTTTTGTTTTAGTTACCAACGGGATATCTGATGACATATCACAAGCAGATTGCTGCAGGCTCGTTCATCACCATCAAAGCCACCGAAGCATCAACCAAGAGTCCATTACTTCTCAACAACCAACCAAGTGTGTCTGTCACTGAAGCACTAACAGACAGAGTTCCTTTTGCTATTGTTGTGTCTAAAACACAAGTCAGAGGAGGTAAGTTGCTGTCAGTACTTTATGTCAAATGTCTGAAGATGGCTTGCTGTCACAAGAATAGCTTTTTTTTAACTTTTGGAAACCGTAAAACCCCACAAAACATTTTCTTCACCACACAAGGAAGGCAAAAAAGCGTTTTGTCATCGCTTTAAGTATACCCAACATTCGTCTCAATCATTATCATCACTACCAACAACTTTGCGTAATTCTCCCGTGTTATAGATTATAAGCTGCAATTGTGTCTTTTTAATCATATTGAAGTGCTTTTCTTCATTTTTGAAGCAACTGCTTGGTTTAGGGGGATGGGGGTAAGGTAATGTGATCTAACAGTTTAAATAGTCAATTGGACTAATATACCCATGCCCATGGTCCAAATATAAGGCTTAGCTCACAATTTGATTGCTCCCTGGCAACGTCCAATTTCGGGTGTCCTTCTATGCGATATGTATTCATGTACTCGTCGGTTAACTTTGTCTTTGTTTTTTACTTCAGGTGGGGGAACATCTACACAAATCTTCTACATTTCCATCAAGATCCTAAATAAATCTGGCAAAGACGTGCTCCTGAAAGCCTCAGACAGCAAAGCCTTTGAAGAACGTCAAGTCAAGAAGGGATTCCAGACAACCATTACCAAGTCAGTCAAAGGCAACGCTCCCATCACCTTTACTGTCATCGATCCTGTCACGCAAACGTCTTTTTTGATTAACGGAAAGAAGGAATTGACTATCACGCCAACAGCTCAGAAAGGAACAGCTATTACATTTGAAGTCACTAATGGCAAAAAACCTGGTATGATAAGCTTGTTTGTATTTTTGAGGTTAATTTTGGATTTGACCCACAATGCACTTAGGTGTTGAGCGTGACATCTCGCCGTAGCAGCAGTTTCCTCAGTTTCCTTACGTGACCACGAAACAATGGCTCTAAGTCGAGGTTGGACACAATAAATGAAAATAAATATATGAACAAATCATGTCCAACTTGTCTTGTAGCCATTTTAGTGCGAATCCGGGAAAGGTCCATCATCAAACAGCTAGAATATTTGTTATCGAGGGTTGTATAAGGATTGCGGGGCACTGTTCTTCTATTTCCATATAACAGTAACAACTTTACAAATGTATTCATTTATCCATGACTTTGCCAGTTGCAGGCAAGCAATATTACATCGCACTCAAAGTCATTAATCGATCTGGGAAAAACGTGCAACTCACCTCGTCTTCTGGAAACTGGGACGTGAAGAAGAATGTGATGATGAATATCCTCAAAGGCACCACTTCTAACAGTCCTGTGGAGATCTATGCAGTTGGGAAGGAAGATAAGAAACCTGTTACTATTAATGGCAAACCGAGCTTTTCGATAACGCCGGAGCTGACAAAAGAACGAGTAGAACTGACACTAAGATCTACAGGTAATGTAAGACAGTACGATCATCATGGAATGTAATCTGTCTGTTTGCTGTCTCTCTTTAGGTCTGTCTGTCTGTCTTTACTGTCTGTCTGCCTTTACGTCTGTCTGCTGTCTGTTCCTCTCTGTTTCTTTGTTTGTTCGTTTTGTCTGTCTTTCAATCTGATCTGAATTCTGTTGGTTGTTTGTTCTGTCTGCCTCTGTCTGTTAGTTGTCTGTCTTCTGCCTGTTCTTATGTCTGTCTGTTTTTCAGCCCTCCCTCTGTCTGTCTTCAGTTAGTATCTATCAATTGATCTGTCTGTTCTTATCATTTACTGTGTGACTGTCTGTCAGTCGAAGCGCTGCTTGGTCGATCTGTCTGCGTGTCCACATTTTACAATAACTAACTCCAATATTTTTAATCATCCAGCTGTTGGCGCAAAGAAAGAAAGCATTCCCTCTAAAGGTAAATAATACCGTCTTGTTAAAACCTTCTGATTGTGACTGACCATTGATTGACAGGATGAAACACTGAACTCAAAGTATTTAGCAATTAACTTGTATGTAGAATGACTTACAATACCTTTGATTCCTGGATCACAGGATCATTGATTGTGATTTCAGTGCAGAATCAGGCGATAGAATAGCTAACATCTCCTGATCCATCAGGTCTTTGCATTTCGCATATATTGCCTTGAGGTTAACAGGGCTTGTAGAAAGATTACCAGTAGTTGGCTCCTGGGGAGGATAAAGATAGCTTAATTTTATTGCTTTAGATTTAAAACAACTTCCGTTCACGATTGCAAGCTTGATGATAATATGCAAAGTGTTTAACGGATGTGCAGATTTGCACGTGCTCGACACACGAGAGAATTCAGTAAAAGTTATCGATGAAATCATTCCGAAAATTCAAACGTTGTAAAAGACTGCGTAAAATATTATGAGATAAACCTCTTTAGGATTTATGCACAATCTATTAAGGTTTCTCTAAAGCACTCTACTCCAATCCAATCCATCATAATAATCCACAGCACAACACACAATACTACGCCACAACACTTCAACACAACATCTCATCACAACAACACACCGCATGACTATAAACCACACCACATCACACACTAGTACACCACACTACATCACATCACACCGCATCACATCACAATACAACAAACACACCACACCACAACACTTTACATCACATCATACACTTCACCACCACATCTTATCTTACCTAAACTCAGCTCACTATACTATTCCACATCAAACAATATCAAACCAAAACAAAATCACACAGATACCATACCACATCATACCTACCCTCTGACTCCATATGGATATACATATGATCAAAATCGTTTATTAATGTAGCCTCTTTATCCTTAGCGCTCAAGCCCTCTGTCTATTACGTCACACTCAAAGTCTTCAACAAGGCAGGCAAGAAATCCATCATTGCACCAAGCTTCAAGGACATCTCCCAAGGACTGCACATCGGTAGCGCTCCGGTTATGCAAATCACCAAGGAATACACTGCGGACCATCCACTCAGGCTGCAGGCATTTGATCCCTTGACTGGTAAAGTGATGCTGATGAATAACAAACAACACCTGATCATTAGACCTGGAAGTTTTGATGATCCTGCTACCAAAATCACTCTCACTAACCCAAGTAAGTATTGTCTTGTCATTACATATTTTCTTTCCCTATTTTTGGGTTAATCTTTTTCCCGTGTCCTAAATCCCTTTCTGGTGCTTTTGTCTTGAAATAGGGTGTAAGTGCTTTGACGTGGCGTACTGCTACATCAAAGACGATCTTGTAGCTAGTCCATCGAGATCGCCCTTACAATCAGAACCCATAAATTGGAAATAGCTTGTACAAAAATATATAGTCTCTTTTTTTGAGCTGTGAGCCTGATCACACTTCAGGAAGTGTGGATAAGAAAAGAACGCTGTCCTTACCATTCTACTGTGATTCTTTGTGATAATGAATTTGGCTTGCAAACTGCCATCATAAGGCAACCGCGTACTTCTTGTGCAGTCATTTACTGATGTCTTATTATTTTGTATTAAAGCTGGTACAGAGAAACCAGAAGTCAAGGAGCACTACATCACCATCTTAGCCAACAACAGACTGAACCGTGAAGCTCGTATCATCCCCAGCAAAGGAAAGAAAGGAGGGTATTTGGTTCCATCAAAATCCATGATCAAAGTACTGATGATCATCAAGGGAGGACCCTCTAATCCTACACCAATAAATTTCAAGGTCCAGGACGTCGAGACCGAATCGACATTAGAAATCAATGAGAAAATCACACCCATTAGCGTGACACCTTCCGAGCTGTCAGATGTCGTGACACAGTTTAATATTACTGCGCCTGGTAAGTCTGCTAGCGTGACAATAGTTAGGTCTAATGGACCAGAGTATGGATTTATAAGACGAACTAACTAGAAATTTTGCTTCAATGAATGCTCGACAAATCAAATTCTATTCTCAGTTTATATCATTTTTCTTGGAAATGTGAAGAACGAAGAGTCTTGTTTTCAAAAACCGTGTCATATTTTGATATAAAATTAATATAAAATATGTTATAAAATATTTCACACCTTGATCAAAACTGCTTACCTTGAGAACCGGATTTTCTGTCGTCCACAGCACCTTCCGTCAAGCCACAGCACTCTTGGTCCATGTTGGCCCTGAAGGCGAACAAAATCTTCGGCAGTCCTCCCCTCCACGCACACGGCTTCTACCGCTATGTAGATGATGGTATTGCTTTCGATGGCACTGACACTTATATGACCTCTGTTTTACCAAAGTATGACAGTCTTGTGAACCCTGATAACAGCAAAACAGGTTTTACTGTGGCCACTAAGTTACGGTTTGATTCAGAGGCCATGGAGTATCAAGATCAGCCAAGGTTTATTTTGGATACTGGTGGACATCATAAGGGCAAGCGAGGAATGTCCATGTATATTGATAGTGGAAAGCTGTACGTTGAAGTGGAGACACTGGACAGAATATGGACGGTAAGGAGATATATATCATTAGTATATTGTTAGTATATACTATTGATCTATGATATATGGATGATGATGGTGCCGACATTGATGACCATGCTGTGTTAATTGGTGACAATGATGATAATAGTGTAGATAAAGATGGTAGTGATGGCGATGATGGCGATGCTGCTACTGATGACAATGATAACGATGATGATGTTGAAGATGAATGTTGACAATAATGTTGTTGAAGATGATGATCTCACACAATGATAATGAGGATGTTTTTGAAGGCGATTACTATGATAATAATGACGATGATGATGTTGATGATGATGCTCTTAATAGAGCTTGTGATAAGATTTCGATCTTACGATAATTGTGGTGATAATGATACATGATGATGATGTCTAACAGCTGTAGTTCTCAAATACTACGTAAATGACGCTTTTAGATGCTAAAGAATATGTTGATAGTGGTAATGATGACGATGATGATATTACTCTAATATACTCAGTTGTTAACTCAGTTATCTGCTTAAATCAGGTATCCAAGCCCTTGAACCCCAAAGTATGGATGTACCTCACAATCACGTGGAATAAGAAAGATGGCTTGAAACTCTACAGAGACTCGATCCTTCGGGCAGATGATGACGTGGGTCGCCCCGCAGATAAATCGACAATCATCGACCTGGAAGAGAACTTGACAGTTGGACGAAGTGTCAGCAGTAATGGAGATATACGATACGCTAAGTTTGACATGGGATCCCTGACAACATTTGGACAAGCTCTCAACCAATCAGATATCGACAAGGCGTTCATTTTCTTCTCTAACAGTTGTAAGTATATCGGATGTGTATTAATGAGACTCCTGTTATATGGAAACAATTTAATATAATTTTTAAGGTCCGGGCTTTTCTTAATCGCAAGGCTTTAAGGAATATTTTTATCGCAAAGATATTTTTTTACTATTTTCTGAATTAGAGCCGTTCTCGTTTGAGTGGGGAAAGATACGGTATATTCGAAGCCGTATCCATACGTGTTATGATTGGGTGAATTACTGAAAGACAAAGGGAAGCCATTTCAATGTTATGGAAAGTCGTACCTTGTACGTGCTGTAAATCAGTACCGTAAGTTTCCCACTCATACGATAGGCGGCAAATCAAATACGAAACTTACGAGTTATTTATTACTTTGTGCTACAGTGTCAGCTAAGATCTTTTACGCTCCGATACGAATAACTAACGAAGCTGGTCGGGACATCATCGTCAAGCCGAGCAAAGGCAATACCCATGGGTTCAATATGATACCGAGATCGACCTTGGAAGTGACCCTGATGTCTATGTCAACTGATGGTACCCCTGTCAGTCCTGTGCTGTTCACAGCTACTGATGCTGCCACAAAAACACCGTTGGAAATCAATAACAGTCCAAACGCTTTCCCGGTCACGCCTAGGGAATCAATGAATGATTTTACTACTATGGTCGTAGCTGTTCCACGTAAGTATAAATATCATTATAGGGGTCCCAGTGATGAACATTAAAGAAATCCAATGTTTGTCATTTATATATGGGGGTCCCAGTGATAAACAGTGATTAAACCCATTGTTACAATTCAGCTCTAGCATTTTAAATCTCATAAAAACAGATGCATTCTGGTCTAGCTTGGGTACAAAAAACACCACATAAGGAATGATAAACAAAAGATCTCAAGCTAGAACAAAGCACACCGTCTTCACAGTCTTAGAAAAGTGCTATTTTTAGCGCAAACATTTAAGCAATTTTATCCTTTGCGATACTTACAAGCCAGCTTTAACGTACTCGATTCGTATACTTCAGAACCCTCTGTTGTTCCTAAGGTCATGTGGACCTTACAGAAGGTGGAGCATGGCACAGTCGTCGGTTCGTCACCAATAGTACAGGCCCACGGCCAACTAAAGCAGATAGATGACGGCCTAGAATTGAACGGAAAAGATAGCTGGCTTGATGCCGGGGACTTCAAAGGTTTGTAAAGATCATTCTTGACTGGTTTGTATCCTCCGAGTGACAATAGGCTTGGGATCTAGAGTTGTCTAGGTTACGGTATGGTTTGTCCGTGGTATAAGCTTATACTATCTAGGTCGACCCAGACGTTCGAAGTTAACCAAGTTAACGGTGTAGAAGTCAAACTGAAACCAATCAACAGAGAGCAGAACCAGTAGCATACTGACCACGACCAATCACGATGTTTCATTTCCAAGAGTTGTTCATAAAATCGAAGTTGTCTGATAGAGGGGTTTTTGCATGAGTGGAAAACCATACGGCAAATTCGTCTCCGTGCTGCTGTGCCGTACCGTATCTTACCCTAATCGTAAAAGTACCCGCTATGGTTGGATGACTGATTACTGGAAGACAACATAGGAAGTTATTTCAATTCAATGTTACGGCATGTCATACCGAGTACGTGCTGTAAGTCAGTACCGTGCTCTTCCCATCCATGTGAAAATCGCTCTATATAATCAGATCCTAGCTTTGCTGCTTACTACTGATTGGCTCAGTCAAGTAATAATGCTCCATTTTCATTCTTGTTATGATTGGGCAAAAAACTTTAAAATCTAAATTGAGTAAAAGTTGTTATTTCTTCAGGTACATGTCTGAGTGATCCACAGCTTTGCCCAGCAGGGCTGACAGTCGGATTCAAGGTCAAGTTCGATGACGACTCTCTTGCATACACACATGAACCTCATTATGTATTGGACAACGGCGGATCCAACAGCAATGGCCGAGGATTTACGGTGTTTATCAAGAACGAGAAGCTTTATGCTGTTGTATCGCAGTCCAACAGCGCTTGGAGGGTAAGATTGACCACAGTTTATTCGCTTCTCAGTTCATAGTTAGTACTACAATCTCAAAGAAAACATAGGTCTTTACGACTTCACCTTATCTTCAATATGTTTTGTTAATAAACAAATTCATCAAAATATAATGAGGAATTTGTTATCTGCTCACGTTAATTTGGTCGGTAAAAAAAGAAGTCGGAGAGTTTGGATCTCTATTTCAGTGCGGTGGCGTGCCTTAGTTTCGCGCCCATTAGCTGTCATTGATTACATTGTATTCTTGAGGACAAACTCTTATAAAGAAATATATTCATGAATGAGGAACAAGCCTGGTCTGTTGGTACTAGGCACGCATGCAGAAGCTCACAAAGGCTTATTTAAAATCAAGTAAATATTTGATCAATCAATACCTCTCCTTTGCCCTTGCGTCGCTCTACAAGTACCATACTAAGAATCTCACCTTGAAAATATCACAGGTTGAAGCACCGTACACCACCAACAAATGGCAGTATGTCCTAATAACCTGGAAGCAAGAGGATGGTCTCACACTCTATATGGATGGAGCCCCTGTGGCATCTTCTGAAGCCGTGGTTCCTCAGCGAGGAGATCACTTGCAAGATTCCTTAACTCGTCTTGCTGTTGGCCGCAATTCTGCAGGTCCACCATATGGCAACACCAAGATGGCGTTGTCTTCTCTCGTGTTTTTTGATCATCATGTCAGGACACTTGATGCCAAGAAGATTTCATTGTATTACTGGGGAAGTGGTATGTCCTGTTGATTGAGAATAATAAGAATATTGTTATTGTGAATCTTTAATTTTTGATGCGTCACAAAACTAAAAGATATATTTTACCCTTTTTGAGTTTTTGCAATTCTCTTTTCTCCCTGGATGGTTTGTTTTAAGTTTACCATTACGACCAGAATTAACGACTTGGGATGAAGTGTATTAGTACGTATACATGCATCTTCATCACAAGCAAAATCATCACCATCATCACCAACATCGTCATCATATCATCAACAACAACAGCACTTTCACCATCATTGTCACTATTACCTTAAATCCGGGCCGTATATATGCACAAACATCCAAACCCTTTTTTGTACTCTTTAAGTATTGCAAATATTGTTCAAAATTGATCGCTCTCAAGCTTATCCCATCTTCTATCCTTTTACAGTTTCTCAGTCTTCATCGAACCGATTCATCAAAGTCAAATTCTTCAACCGAGCAGGAGTCCCCATCAAGATCATCCCCAGCAAAGGGGACAATAAAGATCAGGGCTATACCATACAGCCACATATGAACCTTCAGTTATCCTACTTGGAAAAAGGACCCTTCAATAACGTCCCGGTCACCTTCCTAGCGCTCAACCCAGCTACCAATGAAAGGCTCTTCATTAATGGACGTTCTGGTGTTTTGAGAACCTTGCCTATTCCATCCAAGACTGCTGTCACTGAGGCTGTTATTTCATCTTCATGTAAGTCAAACCATAACACTATATTTAAGTGTACGTATTGCGCATGCTTGAATTATGATTAGTATGATATAGGGAAAAGAATTATTGATGGTGGTATTGTTGTTGTTTTACAGTCGCGTGCCCACAGTCCAATGGATTCTTCTCAGATCCCACATCTAATGCTCGATACATCCATTGCACTAACAAGAGCCCAAACATCATGACGTGTCCAGATAAGATGACATGGCATTCTGACATCGATTCTTGCGCTGGAGAAGGTAGGACTAGCTCTTTATTCATTACCTAAAAAATACCAAGGGTGCTAGGTGTAATTTGGTTGTACAACGGTAGTAGTACGCGGTGCACTCAAAAACGTCATAAAAACGCTCGATGCTTATCATGCGCACATATGGACGCGACCACAATCACTCAATCAGTTATTTCCTCGCTATTCTTGGAATAGCATTTAAATGCCCCTCCACTAGAGTAGGCTAAGACTTTACGCAATCACAATCCCTCAAACAGTTAT